TACGACAATGACGGAGGAGCTGAGAGGTTGTGACAGGGGAGGATGGTGGTTGTATGGAAACAGTTGTTGGATTGCTCCTGGTGGTCTGCAATAAGTATGACGACGACGAAAATGGGGAAAATGATGTGGGTGCAAGGAAGTTCAAGGATGAATACCACATTGAGAGTGAGATACAATCGGAGCACCACTCGACTCGTAGAAGCTACTCACCACCTTGGAACGAGATTCAACTGGATCACTACTTGCCCTTGGATACAATTCTAGAAGGGAAAATTAGGGATGCTAACAACTATCTTGATAGAAATACAATAAAAAACTAACCTATAACACCACACAACCTATATTGACATAAATAGTAATGAATCTCACTTTACATAGAAGATGATAATCCCATGTAAGAAAGGCCGTTCGGCCCTCAAACTACGCATCTAAATCACTCTCAGTTGTCCCGAGCGAGAGATACTCTGTCCAAGTTTAGTGGGAGATGTCGCGCTCCAATCAAAATGCGGCAATTGTCTCCCTCTCTTGCAGGGATGCAATCTCACGTCAGTCTCCTGAGGTTGGGGTTACTTCAGCCTCATCTATCAAAACTTTTGGCTCCTCATAGTATATTGTCAGGTTGGCCACGTTGAAGACGACAAAAATGTTGCAGTCTCCCAGTAAATCAATCTTGCAGGCGTTGTCATTCCACAGCAAATCTTGATAGAATAAGTCATTCTCTTTTGGCATAACCGGAGCTGGCACTATAGATAGATGAGTATTCTCACAAATTTGGTCTCAAACCATTACATTTATAAACTATTTCTCCCATTTCTCGTGCTTCTTTGGACGTATCTGATAAATAAATATGTGAGGAGGATCAACTCTTGGACAAAAATGATAGCAGATTGAGCAAATCTCAATAGCAATCACTCAAGGGTGGCCTCTTCTTCTTTGGTAGGACCTGGATCCCATTATAGAATGTTTTTTTTTTTCCGTAAAACATCCTAAGACAGTATCCAATATCATGGTTATCCATTCTGTCTGATCATTTGTCAGTGAGTATACTGTTGAACTACTTTAACTACCCAAATGACTTCATATAGTCGTCCAAACGTGACACAAATGGGTTTCACCTCTGACATGTTGGATTGGACTCAGTAGGGACAACTCATGAAATAGACTATATATGTGAAACGTTTGAAATTTTCTTATATATGAGATGCATCTCTTGTTTCATCTTGGATTGGGTAGTAATTTTACTCTTCCCTTCTAGCTATCAAAGAATCTTTAAGTTCTCCTACCACTAAGTTGTGCTCTGCCTTGTTAACGATTAAATTCACCATTACGTCTGGTAGGATGTCCTGACTCTCAAAGAGATTCCAATGTCTAGAGCCACTCGATGAACTCGTCCTGATCTATGTGACCATCAAAATACTGTAATTCCACCTTTACCTCAAAATCTTGGCTTCTCCAATATTTCATGCCAAATCTTTGAGTTAATGCTTCTTCATCTAGGCAATCAAATGGAATTTGTGTGATTCATTTGGATGGTCTCTTCTCGAAGGTTGTGAGCCTCTATTGCAGTCGAAGGATTTTCCATTGCATTTCCTCCATAAAAATTTCCTTGACACCTCTTTGCGGGTTTCTCATAAGCAACATCATATTCTTTACCCTCAATCAAATTTCTTATAATTGTCTCTTCAGTGGCATGGCTAGGTTTTGGGTTTTGGTTGGTGTAAGAATGTGCTTGGGGTGATGTAGTAAAAGAAAGAAAATTTTTGGGTTAGGTAGTAGGGTATTTAGATTATCCTAGAATAGGACTAGGGTTAGGCTAATTTTGATATCAAATGAGATAAACCAAATACGACGAGAAATATAAATTTTATTACTAAAATAGATTAGGGATTACGACGAACATCAGAATTATAAAACAACTAAAGAGATGATACAAACGCCAACTAGGGCTTAGGTTGGAGCTAGTTTTGATGTGATTTAATGTAAGAGTCGTAGATAAGGATGGATAGGATGGTTGAAAGACGGAAAGCAAGTGGTTGGAGGGGTGGTAGGGTTGCGGCAACAGGGATGCTGCGGGGAGGTGACGGGAAACGGGTGGACGGGTTGCTGCAAGGGAAGAAGATATGTACGGCTGGGCTACAACAGAGGAGAAGTATCAATAGCAAGGAAGGAAAGGGGAAAGGCTGGTTACTGGGGCTACGATAGTGAAGGAGTACTTGGGGTTGTGGCAGGGTAGGAAGGTGGCTGCAGGGAAATATTAGTTGGAGTACTCTTGGTGGTTTTACAAAAAGTATGGTGATGATGGCGACAAGTGGAAGGATGCGGGGGAGGGAAGGTTGAGGATAAATATCACCTCGGGAGTGAGATATAGTCGGAGCACCACTTAACTCTTGGAAGCTAATCAATACTTTGGAACGAGATATAGCCGGAGCACCACTTGCCTTTGGATACAACCCTATAAGGGGAAACAAGGGACGCTAACAGTTGTCCTGTCATAAACACAATAAAAACTAACCTAAAACACCTCAACAACCTACATAGGCCTAGGAGTGGACCCCACTCCACATAGGAGGTGATAATCCTACGTAAGGAAGGTCGATCGGTCCTCAGACTACACTTATGAACCGGTCCCAACTGTCTTGGTCGAGGGAAGCTCTGTCCCAGTCGAGCAGGGATGTCATGGTCCAGTCTAGATGCGACAATTGCCTCCCCTCATGTGAGAACACGATCCCTTGTCGTCTTTGGGATGCCCCACACGTCAGTTCTAATGGGAGAGGGTTGGGGGTGTGGGAAGAAGGTTTCAAAGGGTGGGTGAGTTGGTGGTTGGGGTTGAAAGAGGGGAGCCCTAAAACTTGTTGAGAGAATTCATTCATTTGCTAAGAAGGGTTGGGGGAGGGTTAAGAGGGGTGGAATGCAGGAATGAGACCATAGAAATCCATCCATCTAGGGTGGCTAGGAGAATCATCATGGGTAGGGGTGTAAACGAGCCGAACACGAGTTGTTCACGAACAAAGAGTCCTTTGAACAACCTTAATCATGTTGTCATAAGACAATAAGGGTTTGAGCAAGATTTAAAAATTATTATTTATATTAAAACATCATTTGAATCTAATTTAATAATTTTTATTCTATATAAACTTGATGAGTAGTATTTCGAGCCAAAACGAGCCGAACACGAGCTGTTCACGAACAACGAGCCGTTTTGACAGCCCTAATCATGGGTTGTTTGGTCATCTTCATCTAAAAAAAATTTCATTGAGGACTTTATTTTTTTTGTAATATAAAAAGATGAAAATGGTTTCCTATTAATTTGGTGGGGACATAAAAGGCTGAAATAATGTTGTAGTCAAAAGTCACAAAATCGAAGTCAAAATTAGCAAATGGGGTTATAATTGCAATATTTAAGGATATGCTTTTTTTTAGGTGCTTAAAAAACATAATTTCTTACTATATTTTCTCATGTACAATAGCCATCTTTCCTGTATAATAGGAGTGGATTGAGATTATAAACTTTGAAGAGTATTTTTTTTTATGATAAATAATTTTGTTTAACATTTTTTTATCCTAATTGAAGTTGGTTGAAGTGGAGAAATGCTTTGGGTCTATTGTGTTATAGAAAAGTATTGCTTAATTTGAAAGTAAACTTTTATAAGATGGTGGTGACCTGTAATGCTCTATGACACAAAATGTTGACCTTTAAAAGAGAAGTATAAAAAAAAAGTTAAGTGTTACTGAGATGAGAATGCTTCTGTGGATGAGTGGCTTGACACCTAAGATTCAAAATGCGAAATGAATATATAAGTGATAAGGTTAGTGTAGCTCCTGTGGCGGACAAAATTAGAGAGAGTCATCTTAGATGGTTTGGTTACGTTAAATGTCGAGTATCTAATGAGCCGATTAGGAGAGTAGATGTTTTAACTTCGACTGAAGTTAAGAAAGGCAGAGGTAGACCTAAAAAGACTTGGACATATTGTATAAATAATGATCTTTATCTATTAGAATTACATGAAAATATGACAATAAAACACAATGGAGAAAAAGAATTGAATTCATGTAGCCGACCCCACATAATGGGATAAAAGCTTGTTGTTGTTATTATTGTTATTGTATTTTGCTATTCTAATTCTATTGTAACAAAATGCATTGAGTTTAATATTTTTGTTTCAGAAAATTAATTTTTTTCTTTTTGTTTTATTAAAATTAATTTTTTGGTAGGAACAAACAAAATTACTTGTTACAAAAAATCTTGTTGATCCATAAAATTTCAAGATGTATATTCTTTAAATACCCTCATTTTTAATCGCATACGTTAATTTTAATTTCAATTTTCACCACTTTGATTGCAGATTTTTTTTTTTTGGGATTTTATTTATGGAATTCAAGCGCTAGAATAAACTTTTTATGTAATCTGGAATTAAAATAGCTCCTTATAAATACTAAGGATGCCATTTTGATTATATTATTTTCTTGTTAAATACTAAAATGGCGATTTGCTAGAAGTAGTGTCTACTAAATTATTTAATTGCCAATTGTTTTGGCAGTTCCTCTCTAAAACTTTCCATGCAACAATGTCTTTATGTTTGCATATTCTCGCCTCTCTTTTCTAGCAGGAAAAAAAGTGATTTTGAGGTTGTAATTGCCTTAAATTCTTCAACTGCTTACGCGTCTTTTTCCTTATCATCCTTCATAGTGAATGTTTGAACTTTAGGAGTAGTTGATTGTGCTGAAAATTTATCCTAAATAATGATTGGTAATTTTGAAAGCCTTAGGACTCTACTGGCTATATACTTTAAACTGTCAATTTCTGTATGCTGATGCTTATAAGAACTGGAAGCATGCCGTCACACTTCTTAGCTGCCTGAATTTTATTTCATTTCCATCACTTTCCTTCAGTCCTTCAATTAGTCGCAAGAAACATTTTATTTTCCCAACACAGCGCCCAAAGCGTTACTTTCTACATTGGATCAAGTGATAATTGCTCGTGTCTTCATTCCCGCGTGCAGGGTCGATACGAAGAGTCGATTCGTTACTATGTGAGAGCTCTTTCAATGAATCCTAAGGCCGATAACGCTTGGCAATACTTGCGTATCTCTCTCAGGTACTGATAAACAATGTTATTATCTTCCAAATTCAGTTTTCAACTCTTTCGTTCAGACCAAATTGCATAAAGCATTATGAAAATGTTGCATTTTGCACCTCACAGGTTTGCATCTCGCACCGACATGTTAGAAGCTTGCAACGCGCACAATCTCGATCTTCTCCAGAAGGAATTTCCTTTGTGATTTCACCAATCCCCGCAGGTTAGACATCCTAATCGATAAGAGAATCTCTTAAGGGGGTTTACATTCATGCCACATAATTCTAATGTCTACAGCACTTTCATTTACCAATTACAACAAAACATGCATGAAAAGGTGCGTCCCACCTTAGAAAAGTTCATATTTGTGTTATTTTTGATATAATGTTAAACATTTGTGTTAGAAATGTGAATGTATAAGACTTTGGTGGCATTTATGTAATCCATCCCATATTTTAATTTGTTGAAGGAACTTTGTTTTGCGCCTTTTGATTTGTACTGAATTTGATGCGGATGATTTCAGGAAGCACAGAATGATGGTTATTAGGCCCGAGGCCTCATCATCTGGCCACAATAACGTGGAGTTGCAGTGCATTTGACTGAACTTGGAACTGTGCAATCATCAACCCTTGATCGAGCATTCATTAGTATATATATATAGATATATTGTAGGAATTTCAGCCTTCAGAAGAGCTTGGCTCCATTGTATCAAATAAACACATGAAAATGTTGAATGTGATCTTAAAAAGTTGTTGCAGTGTAGATTACTGAAGTATTTATTTGTAGATCGAGAACCCAACTGCTTTATTGGTCAGCATTGGATTTGTTGTTTCTTTTGATATTATGAAGGGCTTGTTTGATCTGATAGAGCATGAAGTTGATATATATATAATATATATATATATATTTATTTATTTATTTATTTATTTTTTATTTTTTATTTGGTAAAAAGCATGATTTAGAAAATGATTTTATTTTCATTGAACTTTTTTAGAAAAATAAGCTCATTATATTTGAGAGGTTTTGAAGGAGTTTTATGGTAAAATTATTGGTGTTATAATTCTTCTTTTTTTATTTTTTATTTTTTATGAGAAGTAAAATAACAATTTTTATAAAAAATTTAAAAAATTAATAAAAATTGTAGTAAGTTGAAAAATAGTATTAAATTATATTTAACAAAATGGTAGGTTTAAATTGGATGTCATAATAAATATTCAATTGCATTGAGAGAAAGTGATTAAATATCAAATACTCAATTGGACTAATCATTGAACTAGAAGAAAGTGATTAAATGTTCAAATATTCAATTGGATCAAATTAGCGTGTAAATTGGATTTCATAATAAATATTAAAATTATTATATTATGATTTAGATGGTGTAATAATATAAATATGTGATAAAGATAAATAGAATTTGAACTTAATAATTATAAATTTAAATTGTGATATAAAATATGTCGATGTAATCTATATTGCATGAACACTCTAATTAAGGAGTCATGAAGTGTCTGACATGTATGGGACATAAATACAACTCATGGATACGGTTTGACAAATATTCGTCAAGACAGAAAAATGTCTGAATTAAATGACATTTAAAAAAAGGAGCAAGCATCGAACAACCTTAAATTTCAACATGCTTATCCTAAATGAATAAAAAAAATTAAAAAAAAGATTTGTAAAATTAAAATGAAATAATGAAAAATTCTGGAATAGTTTGCATACACACCACTCAATTCTTAGTATTTACATATCTAACCCTAAAATTTTAATTTTATGTACATGCCACCTTAGATATGTATAAAAATTAGAAAGGAGTGTTCATGCAATTTGATTAACCTAATAATCCTTCTTGCCCACTCTCCAGGCAGCCTTTCGCCTTCGATTTGCTTCGGCTTCGCTGCCTTTATACCCTCTTATCCTGCCCTCCATCTCGATCTCGCCCTTGAGACCAATAGCTAGGGCTCTGGCGCTTTGCTACCATACTTGAATGCTTTGCTGCCTATTCATTTCTTCTGCTCACCGACCGAAGACCAGGTAGGGTTTCAACTTTTCAGTTTTGGTTTTTGTATTGGCTCTTTAGTCTCTTTGCAGCACGCACGGGAGACATCGGTTGATTAGGTGCTTCCCTTATCTCATTTTTTGCTCAAAAAATCAAACTGAAACATTGTTTAGTGAAAAATCCAGAGTTTAGTTTAAGATGAAATTTAGAATCCCTAATGTTTTATTGCTTTTTTATTCAATATGCACAGTTTTTCCTCCATGTATCCATTCTTTGATGCCATCTTTATAAATTGATAGTTTGGAATTAGAGAAATCAAATTTAGCTCCAAGTTAATTTTGAAAGTGAATTGGTCTTCAAAATTATGAAACTTAATATTTCAGGTTAGATGTAGCGTATGGTAAACCTTTTCTTTGAGTTTAAAAAGCAGCGGGCCTTTTCACATTAACCTTAATTTCCTTGTTTTGTTGTGGTCAAGATAACCTGTAAGACAATGTTTATAGTTTCATTATTATATATCCACCAAATCAGTATTATACTGATTTCCCATGTGCTAGGCCCCATGATAAGAGCTTGTGTCATGTGCCTAAATATTCGAGAATCCAAGGCCACTGGGGATCGACCTGTGACCTGAGGGGACTTACAGTGAACCCCGCCAACCAATATGTCACGGCTTGTGGCACGCGCCCACACACACGCGTGCGCGCTATATGTGTGTGTGCGAGCGTGCGTGCATGCATATATATATATATTTGACCTTCAAAGTATGTCCTGAAAGTTTCTAAAAGTTGTTTAATAACTTGATTTAAGTTTTATTTGACTCAGATTAGACTAAGTTTGTACCAATGAGTCCGTCTCGTCGATCTGATCAGTTTCACTATAAGTTTGCTTAAATCAGACTTCTGGAAAACTCTTAACCAAAGTTTGAACATTTGTTGCAAAAAAATGCATCGAAACCGTGTTATAACTTGAGAGTAGTGTTGGATGTGAGAAATTTGTTCAAGGCATATCAAATATATATATGACTTAATATAATTTATTAAATAAAATCTTATTAAATAAAATCTTAAATAATAGAATGTTAATAATTTAATTGAAAATTAAATATAATTAAATATGCATTTGGACCAACAATTCTATATATTGAGGATCAATTCATCGGTTCGCCAATTTGAATGGTGGTTCACATCGATTTTCATCGGTTCAATTTGAGACGGTTCGTGAGGTTACCCGAATCGACCATATGCCCAGTTCATAGTTGAATTTGTTGAACCGGTCGGCCATCATGTTTTTAAAATATTGTTCGTGAGAGGACTTGTGGTCATATGGATGAAAATTTTTATTTATTTTTTTTTTTTTTTATCTATAGTTTTGTGTTATGTTTTATGAATTATTATTCATCATTAAAAAAAAAGAGTTTTTTGTTATAATATTATATTTATCATTTGATTGCATGTAAATAAATAGAACATATTTTATAAATAATTCATTTTATTTTCAGTACTTTTATATGTGGAAACAAATATGCTTGCTATAATTTTTAGGAGATGTATTGCATTACAAACATATAATTTCCATATACATCAATTGATAGATTAACAAACTGATAGTTGCAAGATTCTATTCTGCCCATAATGCATATAGTTCTCTTAGTCAATCTATAATCAATTTCATTAATTAGAATAATGTTTTATTCTAATATTTATTATTTAGAAATTAATTTAGTAACATTTAATTGATGATTAATTATATAATATAATGCCTAATTAATTTTCTAACTATGATTTAACATTTGGAAAATTTAGATACCCACAAATTCTGATGTGTTTACACAACAAACACTTGAATTTCATTTTTACATTTATAGCACTTGTATCATAAATTTATGCATGAAAGTGACCATTTCACTTTTAAGAAGTTAATAATACTAGTTTTTAGGTAATTTTAACAATACAAATATGAAAGTTTCGGAGTTAAATTTGTAAATACGTAATAACTGGGCGGTATGTATTTTCTTGTTACTATTAATTGCATTGATTATTATGTATATTTCATGAGCATTGCCTTTTGAGATTCCTTATTTTAATTCCAACTAATGTGCTAAACCCTAAACCTTCGGACACTAATTAGTTTATGTTATTTATTTCCAACTAATGCGATATTCTGCTATCACTTGTTGGGATGAAAAATGAGTTTTGATCGACTCACAACAAAAACCGAATTATGAAAAAAAACACATTCAAGTAATCCGAACAATAAACTAAACAGAAGTGCACAACAAGAAAGTCAAGAAAAAGCGCACAAAAATTTAACGTGGAAGGAAAAAGACAAGAAACCACATCACACCAAAAATCAACTATGAAAGGAGAACAATACAAAATTAATATTTATATCCTCTCTCTACACCACTGAAACTTATAACAATTCACACTTCATGCTCTCTTGATCGAAGAAAAGAAAGCACTCGCTGAAATTCACCCTCCCGACAGAGATGCCACTCCAAACTTATTAACCGCCATCTAAAATACGCAGTGTGAAACAAGGGCTTGAACCCCAAACTAGGTACAAACTGGTCCTGGCACCATAGCGTTGCTTCAGAGCGCTGCCTTTCTGCTTGCTCGAGTTGAAGTCACGAAATCGTTGTGACGTTGCACCCCAACTGGGTGTTGGGGCTTCGCCCTGTCTAGATAAAGGCGTGCAAAAATCGAAACTGGGCTTAAGAGCGCAGCCCCCATTTCACCGGGGTGCTAAGGAGTCCCCTTGGGCTCCCCTTTGTGGGCGCAGAAAGCTAGTTGTAGCGTGTTGCAAACTATGACTTGAGGCTCCACGTCTTAAAAAAATAACCTACGGGATTGTCAAAACTCAGCATAAAATAACCATGCATTTATTTTTCTTTCCGATTAAACACATGAAATACCAAAAAATATATTGTGGAATTCTATTGGATTTGGGATCCCATATAATTTATGACCTCATACAATCTGGGAGAAGCCTTATGAAAGAAGTGAAAAAAAGTTGACGGATCCTCTTAGAGAAATACTAAGAGTTTTTTTAGGGTCTAGGATCCAACATTCTCTCTTCCATTTTTCTTCTTATTTATGTTGTTGAGCTAATGTACCACTGGTGTGGATTGTTGTTAATAAATGGTGATATGTGTGTCGACATATTGGAATTCTCTTTCTATGCCTCAAAGAACTGTCCTTCAAACTTAGTGATGTAGCCAAGTAGTTGTCAACTAGCTTGGTGGGAAGGTTCAATTAGTACAAGCAAACGCTGGAGATGTCAGCGAACTCGACTGAAGGAGCTTGCTTGAAGACTTAAGCTTAGCGAGTCCATGGAATGCTGACGTGCTTTGGAGATACTCATGGGCCCTTCTGGGTGGCAAGGAGTTTTATAGCTTGTCACCCCCAAAGATACCGCTAACGAGTACGATTGACTTAGTCAACACCAGAACATCAAGAACATGGTTGGTGGGCTCGATCAATTAAGCCCATGCGACGGGTTTAAATTTTGGGCTTTTATGTTGCTTAAGAAAACCCATTTTTGAATAGCACTTCTTCCCCCATAACTTCCAAGAAACCAAATACAACCATACTCACTCTGATGTATGAAGAGATCATCGGCACATCTATCTGGTCAACCACACAATGAAATCACGCATAAAGCAAAGAGAAAACAATTTCCAATATGTGATTCTCCAGCCACATAAACTGATAAAATGCCAGTAACAATAAAAAATAAAAATAAAAAGCTACGAAAAATTCATAAACTGATAAAATGCCTAACTGCTTGTGTTTCCCTAAGACATTAATCCATTAGCTTTGCTAGTGCAAGATAAGTCGAGCTGCCTTTGGAAAAATAGCGACGCAAAAGTTGGGCCACAGGGTCGATCCTGCGACCGGCTTTTCGCCCGCTTTCGCGTCGTCCGACCGCGAAGTTGGGAGACAAACAGTAAACATTTGCGATATTGTGTAGTGCCGCACGAAAAAGCGGTGCCAAACAAACCCTTAGTCTTAATACATCCACATAAACTGCTCAATAGTGAAAAGAAAGAAATTTTTCCACCTCCCCATTCACCCTAAGTCAACCACATCAGTAAGCTATAATCTTATCCACATGCATGATTCTTCTGTTATGTGTGTTCAAGTTATCAAGCAAACGAACCAAACAAACATTATTTAAACTTGGACCCCTTCACTAAACCCTCGAGCCAATGAGTTGTAGCTTATTAGTGTCAAAGAAAAGAACTTTTGGTAAATTTTGGAGCAGTAAAAAAACTCAAATAAAATCATACTCCAATGTTTTATGAAGATTGATAAATTAATTCAAGTGTCATGACTTGTGTGTATACTATGTTAACTCCCTCACTATATTATCGCAAGAGGAATACTTTTTCTACTGTCGGTCATTGGCCTCTCGCCGGAGGAGCAGGGTTTGCAAGCCAAGGTGGACGAACTGAATGTTACCATTAGCCGACTGAGCTAGTGGTGGCAACAAAGGAGGAAAGTAGGATGGCTTGATGATTGAGATAGGAAATCCAACTTTTTTCATGACATTTTTGGTCGGGCATCTGCTTGTTAGTTGTAAGTCTTCTCTGGTCTGGGGTTCGATTCCTCTTGTGCATAGAGTATGATATTCGAATTTTTTGGCGCACAAGAGATGACCGGGGCTCGTATAATAACCTCTCGCCATTCATTTTTTGCAAATAATAATAATAATAATAATAATAATAATAAGAGACGGAACCTTATTAAAGGTATGCGTGATGCAGACGGAAATTACTTGGAGGAGCATGGGCGGATTTGCGAAGAATTTATTGGATATTTCCGAGCCAAATGAAGGAGAAGAGCGGAGGACGTTGTGCTGCAAGGATGGCCGAGCATCCAAGACAAAATCCAAAAGATCCAAAGGTTTGCCTGCAATCTTGATGTTGATATCGAGATTTAGTCAGCGGTTAACTCGATAGACCCCAGATGTTAACAATGCGGCGTGTGAATTCTTCTCCACAAATCGGATGAACCTCCGATGGAAAGAGACGGTGGTGCTAAGGTCATGCAACATGCTATCGAGAAGAATTGCCGGAGTTAACAAATCAAAATATGCTATCTTGTTTAGCAAATCAACCTTAAGATGGAAACAAGGAGAATCATGAAGGTGCTGCAATTAAAACGGGTGGAGGAGATGGAATACCTTGGGATCACCCTTAGTTAGCCTTGCGCAGGCTTACCAAATCTGATTTTTCCAAGCTTTTGCAAAAAGCTACTGAGAAGGTGAATGCTTGGGGAAATTGCCACTTATCGTTGGCTGGCCGTGCGACTCTTATTCAGGCATGTCTCCTTTCGATGTCAATGTATATGTTGACTCACACTGTGGTCTTGGATGAAATTGAATGAAATGTAGAGATTTCTTATGGAGTGGAGCTAGTCAAAGATGAGAAATTATTCCATACGGAATTCGTACGCAGCTCTATTTGTGAATTCTAGTAATATACAATCATGTGTGTTATATCGGGCCCACTTAAAATAAATTAAAGTGAAACCGCGGAGGTCATTTGAGCTGATTATTAGGGGTTATTAAGGGGTTATTGGGGCATTAATTCCAATAAAGTCTCAATAACTCATCAATAACCCCCAATAATCCCTCAATAACCTTTGCGGTTCTACTCCACTAACCCTTCAATAATCTCCGCGATTTTATTTCATCAACCTCTGCACTAAACCCCGCAATAACCCCCTAGTAACACCTCAATAATCTCCACGGTTTTAAGTAAATAATCCCACAACAACCTCCACGTGATGACATATTACTTGAGTCTGCACATAGAGCTGTGTATGTACTCTATATGGAATAATTTCTCCAAAGATGGAAGCTGCACTATCGTAAGTGGGGCCTGATTTGCCAACCTACTAGCTACTGCTACGGCTGGGCTGGGATTCCACTCGGCTCGGCTTTGGGCGGGCTCATTGCTGGCTAGATTGGCTGGGGCATTTCATACCAAGCCTGAACATCTTGTTAACCGCTGTCTGAGAGAAAAATACGGAGAAATGTCGTGGGAGAAATGGGACGAAAAGGGTACTTCGGATGCGTGGCGTGTGGTGTGTGATGGGGTGAAGAGCCTACAGGCGATCTCCAAATGGAGAGTTGTAAATGGGAAGTGAATTTCGGTCCTGGATCATGCTTGGATCAATGACAGAACTTTAGCCAAATGGCCCACCTATGTCAATATTTCTGCCACTTTGAACCTCACAGTGGAGAACTTGTGCGATGGTGCATGGAACTTGGAGACCATGCGGAATTGTTTCCGTAAAAAACCATTTAGAGCGGGTGTTGCTAATAAACCCCGCCCAAGATGCACAGGACTTCGCAGAGCTTCAGCAGATGTCTCGGGTAGAAGAGGTCTCGGCGCGGATGTAAGTTGCCCTTGGGGCTGTCCGGGGAAATAAAACAAATATCATATTACCGCCAACTGTTCGGTGGTGTGCGAGGTGACAATTTTTACGTAAGTGGGGTTTTCCTATGCCGACCATCAACTTCTGCGAGGAAAATGTCAAGCAATTTTCTCTCATTAATGGAAAGTGGAGTCCGGTGAGCCGAATTTACTACCATGCTATCAACCAATTTTGCAGGACACACAACGCTGAGAAGCATGGGAGGCCATACGCAACGCCCGCCATTATGCCTGCAATGGTTCTGGAGGCCCTTACTGATAAAACTAGTGTTCCCAATGCTAGCACAAAGAAGATTTGGAGAAGAAAGAGAACTCAGATGAAAACAAATAATGATTTTTAATGTATTTATGTAAATTGATAAAATGTGAGGTTAATTTAGATTTGTGTTTCATTAGAATGCACCAACAAAATCAAGAAAATGCATCTATTAAAGTAACATAATAAGTGTACACTTCTATAGAGGCATGCATAAATGGGCCCCAAACATCAAAATAAAGCATTTCCAAAAGTGTGTATGTAGTATTGCTTTTATTAAAAGAAACTTCTTGGCTTTTATTTTGCAGACAGTCAAAACATACAATGCGAGAAGGAGATTTTTAAATGTAAGCTTTAGAAATGTGAAACACTCTGTGATCTAGGTGGCCCAATCTATGATACCATCGAGTAGACGGTTGTATGGAATGTTGTAGAGTCTAGTTCTTATAGATACCTTGATCAGCAGAGCCATTCATTAAAATTTGCTTGCTTCATTTGTCTCGTATGTAAAAGTTGTTAGCATCAAAAAGCACTTGGCAATTGTTATCTTTTGTAAGCTAATGAACTGAAATGAGATTATGAGAGAGAGGGGGGCACATAGAGGAGGAGGGAGTTGTAACTTACACCTAGGTGTGGGTAAAATATCCTTACGAGTGTGAGAAATTTCAGTGGAGTGTTCATTGCCAACAACAACAGAATCAGATCCTTGATATGGTGTGGGTTGATGCAATTTTTTGAGGTGGGGAGTGATATGAGTCGTAGCACCTGTATTGAGGATTCATTCTGAAGGTTGCCTGCAATAGATAGAGCAAGTGTAGAAGCAAGTGGTTGCGTTTTGTAATGGAAGTTGGTCCCTTCTTGAAACAAATTTGGCATGTGAAAGGAGTCTTCGACTAGTTGCTGGTGTTGGTTAGATTGTTGTGAGTGGAAGAAAAAGTTATGGAAGGATTTTTGTATTGCTGGACTTTGTTTTGGTGAGTGAGGAAGGCAATGGTTGAAAAGGGCTTATTGTTTTCATTAGCTATGTGACATTCTTCACTGTAAAGAAGTGAGTAAAGTGTTTCAAGACTGATGGGATTGGGTTGGGTTCTTATGGCTGTCTCGAATCCTTTAAAACTGGAGGGAAGACCGTTTAAAATGTGTAAAATGATGTCATCGTTATCAATCTTGGATCCTACCACGACTATGTTTTCCACCAAAGTCTTTATATTGGTAAGTTATTGAGTCATAATGTTGTTCCCCATGGAATGAATCACTCGAGAAAGATTGGAAGGTTGAAATTTTCTTTCAAGAGTGGTCCAAATTTCTGCGGTGTTGTGAAGATGTATAATGTAAGAAATGATTGAAAGTGAACAGGTGGAAATGTTAGCCGCAGCAAAATTCCTGTCGATAAGGTGCCAAAGGCAATATTCTTTTATTTCTTGTTGGGTATGTGCTTCTTATTGTGGAAAATGAGGTGGAATTGGAGTGTTGGGATCAAGAAAGGCTTCAAAGCAATTTGCAATTAATAATTTTTTTATCTGAATTTTCCACACTTATAATTTTCATATGAGAGTTGTTGGTTCGTCATGATCTTGCAATGTCATCAGGAATTTGAGAGACGTGGGGATGAGGATTTCTTTTATTTTAAGAATAGAGGTACTATGGTGGGAGAATGTGTGGGCAATGTTGGTAGAGGAAGAAACCATTGCAGCTTGTGGGTGGAGGTACTATGGTGGGAGAATGTATGGTGAATGTTGGTAGAGGAAGAAACCATTGCAGATTGTGGGTGGGGGATGAAAGTTATCTGTCAAGGGAGGGGAGGGGAGAAAGAAGAGATCAAATAGAAGAATCAAAGAGTCTAGAAACTTACTGCTCTTATACCATGATAAAACTGATGTTATATAGACTAAAAAGAATTGAAGAAGAGAAATCAGAGATGAAAACAGATAAGAGCACTTTATCACTTTCCCATTACATCTTTCATAAGAGGGCTTAATTTTATATAGACTAAGTAAGGGTATAATAGTAAATATTCATACTAATAAATATCAACTATATATGCAGAAGAAAAGGGGATCTGACATCCCTAGATCACGAGTATCGCAGAAGCAGAGAAGGACCAGAGGCGAGCATGAAGATAGCAGCCGCGATTCAGGTACAATCTCTATTACTTACCAGGAAACATTCGTTTTCCATTCCGAAAAATTAGGGCACTAACCAGTCTCACAGATTGTGGAACTCCGGACTGGCTTAAGGTTAATGTTGACGGGGCGGTCCTTCAGGATGAGAACAGGAGGGCTCATTTGTGCAATGGCCATCACTTGCAACATTAGGACAGCCGTTTTGTGGAACTCCAGGCTATTCTATCTATTTGCAACATCTTCCAGCTGTAGATGTTCGAGACCAGAGGCATCATCGTGGAGAGCGGTAACATCAATGTCATCAATTACATGAGGAGATCGATGGGTCATGGAAGCTGAAAGGAAAACGTGGATCAACGCCACAAGTTTATTTTTTTCACTCTGCTTAGACAAGTAATTATTCAATTAATCCCTTGGGAGCTCAATCGAGCTGCTCAATTTTGTGCTCAAAGTGCACTTACTCGTAGTTTTTCTTTTGACTCGCTTCCCAAATCCTGGATGCTTTTGTCATCCTTTGAGGTGATAGGGCCTCTTTTGCACTAGTCGGAGGACTTCTTTTTTGTACTTTTTTTGTACTTCTGTTTTATGTTTAATACAATATGCACACCTTCATGAATGAAATCACTGAAAGCAATAGATGTCTTTCCCATAAATCTAAGAATGCCACTTGTAATGTTTTAAATCAAAATGTTTATAAATAATTATTCAAATATAGGAAAACAGGGATGGCAGAACTCAACATAATATCAACAAAAGAAAAAGTTCAAATAAAATTCAAGCCGCAGAAATCCAATAGCTCTTATTTTTCTGAAAAAAGAGGAGAGATCTCACTGAGGAATATAAATCAATAGTTATCAAGTAGTCAAAAGGTGGTTGGTGATTGATGCAGGTCAGAGAGGTCCAACTGAGTTCAAAGAGGAAGATGATATTACAGAGAGGACATCCGTCACAGAGGACATGGCACTAAGAGCTGCCTTCAGAACTTCCTGAGAGCATCCAGGCTTCACTATCTTTTTCACCTGTAAATATAAAAGGATCCATCATATCAGTTCACATCTTCACCAGAATACAGAGCATGTAATCAGTCGAATTTATTTGATACAGAAAATAAAAAACTGGTATCTTTTCTCATAACCTCTACAAAAGAACTAGAAAGAAACAAATGATGGAAATTATGTGCAAATTTAGGTTCGTAGCAGTGAATTAGGTTCATAGAGTTCTTGCAAGTATGAAAAAAGGGCATTAACAAATAATCATAGAATCAAATATTTTGAGATTGCTAAAGAAAACAAAGCTCAGACCAGAATGTTAACAATAAAGGTACCATGTCACTAAATGGTTTCCATGGATGGAAATTATGTGGATTCATATTAACAAAACTGCGATAATAATTACCCAAAAAGAAAGAAATAAAATGAACAAATAATAGATAACGAAATGGGACTAGCCTTATCTAGATACTCCTGTAATAGTTTAATCCGGCCCATATAATCTTGATCTTCAACAGATAATGTGAATGTCTTAGCATCAGCACCTGGACCATCAAATTGAAGCGGTCCGGGGTTTCTATATAGATCATTCATCAAAAAGCTAGATGCATTGCTTCTCAACAGCCTGAAAGTAGTAAGTTTAGTAAATTGATGCAAAGATAAAAAGCAAGAAATCAATATAATAACTATTAGATACTGGTAGAGAACATTTTTTTTTGGAAGAACTACATACAAAACACTCAATACTTCAATAGTTATAAACTAATACTTGTATCATTTCTTTGAACTATTAAGATAGTTTATTTATGCACGTCACAATCAAACCATTGAGAATTTATAGAAATAAAATATGAGCTGAGGATTTATTGTGCATTTTAATATTTGGGTGAGAAATTAAAAAACGGATGTAAGATGATGCTTTTGTAAATAGCAAAGTTTCAAGCGTTGCAATCTTTGTTCCTAGAATTTTGCCAAGGGCTTAATTAGATGCTTGCAAATGGAAAACAAAAAGTTATTAATTTATTCAATCATTTTGAGAGTGAGAATAAAATCCTCACTTCTAAAACTTTTGAAGACGTTCGTAGACTTTAAAATCCATAACAATATTTAGTTACAATAAAATCCATAATGATTTCTAGCAAAATGACAAGTAAATCATCATTTTTTAAAACATAATTTCCAACTACAATAAACCAAATGAGTTGTAAAAGATTTTCAATGGAAGAATCCTGGCATCAACAAAATGGCAGATTAAGAACAATAGAATTTGAAAACATACTCGTATGCTTTTCCTTTCAAGTCAATAGTAGAAGGATGGACAGCTGGTTTCCCAATCGGACTAGCTCCTGGACCACGGGACCATCTTTTCACAGTCATCATTGCCTTGAAATTAACAAGAAAAATTCATTTCTCTATGTAAAGTATACTTAAAACCCACGAGTTATTCATCGTCTAGTTCTACTTGAATAAAGATGCTGATTCAATAAAAACGCTGTAGGAAAAAAGGTAGAATGTTCATCTTACTGAAATTGGTGCAGCACCACATTTCCACTTGTTCACGGGGCTTTTTAAATTTGTTACGGTAGCCATGTAACCATTGAGACCTGCTGCAAGAATATGGTAACAGATATGTCCTAGAACCTAAACACAAAGAACTCGCAATGTTACTTAATGATAACATAATAAATTCAAGAGCAAGTTACAGCACTAAAACAAAAAGAAACTTACCCAGGCATAGTCACAATCAAACTTTGATGGTAAAGTGCCCCGAGCTTGATAACCAAAAAAGTGGCATATTGCATTAAATTTCTTTCCTTTGTATGTACCTTCTGTCTGCAAACATGATACAAAACATACATCAAAAGTTAAATCTTACAAGACCATCCAGCAAATAATTAAAATAAACTTTCAAAACATTAATTGGCAAATATATGAAAAAGAAAATTATCTTTTTATTTGTCTTTTTGATGTATTCAGAGGATTTTGATGAAATGCACAAAATATTGAGTTGAAATAAGAATGCAATACTCGTAATCATGTCAAGTTAGTTCTGTGAAAGGAGAGAATGCTCACCATCCGCTTGTTCATTTCTGCCTCGACCAAATAAGCAAGAAGTTTTTCAGTTTCGATCTGTTCATAACAAAATGACACGTTTTAGAGGTAGAATTGAGCCAAGAAATCCATTAAAGCCAACTGAAAAAAAAAATTACCTGAGACAGCTGTGCCGAGTCATCAGATTCTGGACGGAGAAGCAACTGTATCATAAAAAAAAATCTGTTATTAAACAACAATTCCAACAAGAAGATCAAAGCACTCAAAGGAACTAAAACTGACCTGTTTTCTGATAAACGGGGGCAAAAATTCAAATAAAGCTGATGCCCATGGGGAAAGATGATCTGAGATGTTATTCGGTAAAATACCTCGGCCATGAAGACCATGAATTTCCTGTTACAGTTGAGGTCTTGCAGCATTATAAGTCTGAGCTGTGAAGTCAATGCACTCAGCAGTACAGTTAAGAGCAGCCAAATACCTGCAGGAGAGCGTACAATTCAGGAATACTTTCAACCAAACCCTCAGGGATAACAACCACTCCATGATACTTCTCTGCAGAAAAATCAACAAGCCAATCAGGAAACCGGAATAGATGGTAAGAGAACGTCAATCAGAACTAAAATCCTTCAAACCTTGCTCTGCTCTAGCTTGCACTGCATCACATAGTTGCTTCGTAATATCAAAAAGTGTAAGTTTTGATGAAGTTACCTCCTCTCCAAGTATAACCTAGCAACATTCAAAAAAAAAGAAAAAATGACAACAACTATCAAGATCCAAAGTAAAATAAATAAATAAATAACAGTTAAGGGCAAAAGTACAATAGAAAGCCATACCAGGTTGGGATGTGATTGGAGAGTGCATTCCAAAGCCACATGAGAAGCCTTCCGGCCCATTAGTCGAATAAAATAATAATACTACAAAAAACAAAAGATTAACCAAGGACATTTAAACATTTCAAATAAATAACAAAACAAGTCACAAAGCACTACTTCATTCAGTAAGCTTATGTACTCAAACAAACAAAAAAAAAAAAAAAAAAAAAAAAAAAAGAAGATTGTGGGCCGTAGAGAGATGGTTAGTTACATGAAAAACCAATAAGATACCATGCACAAAATATCATCAGCCTTTGTTACTGTAGTCTGTCACCATTAAATGGTAGTCATACAGGTTATTTCAAAGCGAGTTATCTACCTTCTCAGCCGATAGAGCATCAGTACAAACATTGCTTATAAGCTGTGAGTTAACCTGTCAACAGAGCATGTACAATAAGTTACACTTTAAACAAGGTGTCCGCAAGTAATATTAAGCAATCGTGGGAGTTTTGTATATATGGAGAATAGGACGGGGAAAAAAAAACCATCAGAGCTCCTACAGAAAATTCATATTTGCACCTGAATTCATCTTTAGATTCTTACGTTAACATGATCATATTCATACCTTGCATATTGTGTCAAACCCAACATTTGCCTCAACGAACTGGTTTTTAAGGTCCCCATTCAAAGTGACTGGAACACCAACCACCTGCCAAAAATAGAATGATCAATGAAGAACAATTAAATACAAAGTCCCGAGAATAAAATTTGCTTCAAAGCAGAATAAACTGCCTAGCAGCTTACCAAGACAATATAGGAGCCATAAGTATATGCTTCAAGAAAGTTACTGTAAATAAAAGAAACAATAACCACAATCTAAACCTAGAAACTAGTATTGCTAATTCCAAATACCTTTGTTGAACATTTTGACTCCGCAAAAGTCTCAGCTAGCTGTGCAGCATCTGTATTGGAAGTTACTCCTGCGAAGAGAAAAGAAATATATTTCAAAGGCTTTAAAAACTCTTTTGACTGAAAAGAATCTGATTTTAAGAAATTCTAAACCTCCAATTATGACAAGACCATCCAATTTCAATGCTTGGCATGAATCCAATGCTTCATTAACCTGCTCGGTAGTTCGAATCTGATCTTGGGTTCGTCCAAGTAAATCATAGCCACCTAGAGAATCCTCAAAGGTTACAGTTAATAAAAATATAAACATATGGCCAAACAAAAATAAAATAAAATAAAATAAAACTATGAAGCCAAATTTCAAATAACCTTGGTTCTTGTATGAGGAAAGAACTTCATCTGTGATCTCAAGGGTCTTCTGCGCAAACAAACCTTCAGTACCACCTATATGCACCACAAAAATAAAAATAAAAACAAGATCAAAGTTATCTTACTCCCCTAATTGAAAACATGCATACATTGCACATGGAGTAACTCTTGCATCCATTCCTTACTACTATGTTCCGAGTTTTATAAAGGAATCATGAAATGTTGGAAGGGAAAATTATAGAAACAGAGTAAAGGAAATCATGCTACATGGGCGTACAATATTCCTAGAAAAAAAACTTGGCGCACACTATAACAGCCATAAAGTTTATTATTAAGTTTGAACTTAAACTCAAATCTATTTATATGTGAATTAAAGTTTACGTAGTCAAACATCAAAAAACATTACTTAATCATTAGCTGCTTAAGTAAACTATTCATATCAATTAATACAAGTCACCCTCTCCAGATTTGTTGTTCACAGCAGCTTCTGTACACAAACGACCACCATTGATCGGTTATAGTTTCGCCATATACATCTGCAAGTCCATCAATAAAACATTTCTTTGTCATTGTCACCACTCCTTCAAATTTCCATCATCAACTCCATAACTACCATTGATAGCAAACCTAAAGTTCATAATAGGGCCTTTAAAAGATTTACCGTAGCCCTATTTTGCATAAATATATTCTTAGGACCCATTTGATTCAGCTTTACTGCATCTTCAACAAAAGAAAAACAGGTTAACTAAAAACAGACAGAAGTTTGGATGATTCAAAATCACCTACTATACCAGAAGTTACTTTAGATGGCGGTGAAAGTTTACTTTCTGGCTGCAATTTTGTAGTTGTTGCTAAGAAGAACCATTTGAAAGCAGATAGATAAAAATAAAAAAATAACTTAGATTTTTAACCATGTGCCTTACTTTATCTACAATAGTTATAATCAATTGATTTGACGAATTACTAAGAATTTAAAAATTAATATAATTTTCTTTATTCTTGAAAATGTTTATGTTAGCCTTCAATATAGGTTATTACTATAACGACTACTTTGTGAGCTATTTATGGGACCAATTACCCAAAATATTTTATCAAATGGGCAAATATATTCTGTAGAATTTTTTCAACTTTTTTTTTAGAAATAATACCAAATGAACAGTGTTCATAAACTTGTTATGCCTTTAAATTAATAATATCTTTATAAGATGTCATAAATTTATTAAAATGTTAAAAGAAAAATGAATGAGGGCAAATTTGTTTTTTTGAATGATAAAGTTGATCCACGGTGTTCTTTTACCAAAGAAAAAAATGTCATGTACCTTTATATATCATACATATCTTAAGTGCAGCCAAACAACTAGAGCTATACTCGCAGTAGCTTTTGTAGTTATTATCCTACAACTTCTCGGCCAACTATACTAATAATAACAACTGAACTAAACGATCACAAACACAAAAATTGTGCAACACATTCTTATTTTTTATTATTTTCAGTATCTTTTACAATATGCATATTAAGGAGATAAAATACAATGATGAACCATGTTCATAGAAGATTACTTAGTATTTGTTGACATGGGATTTCACAACTAGAACCAACAAATAATGTTACACCATTTGGAATAATAAATAACTGCAATGCTAAAACAACAAAGTAAGATATCCATCCAAGAAAACCAACAGAGTATGAAAAATACATTCTTGATTGAAAGAAAAAAAAAATGCTATGATTTGTGCAACTTATTTACAAATTCAAGTTCAATTCACATGTTATCATCCGATAAAGATTGCGTTAACTCCCCTTAATCAATTCCTAAATTATCAAAGGGCCATAATGACCTCCATGGCTCCATCTAAAAGTCATCAAGGTATTATTAATCTACTTGGGTGAAAATAAGCAAATAAAGCAAATGCTTACCAACAAAGCCAAGCAAAGTGCTGTTAGGATTGTGAATCTTGATAGCATTATGAAGACCCCAAATAACATTATGTCCACCCGGAGACTGCCTCCCACTAAACACAACACCCACTCTGCAACATGGCATTGGAATCGATACAGAAAAAAAAAAGAAATAGCATAAGTTAATAAAAGCACTAGATGATTGGGAATTCCATTTGCTATAACTTACCCATTATTTAAGGACAAAATTCAAAGAGGAAAAGCACTAACAGCAGAGACTATCATATCAATATTAGTCAATAGTGATCACGTATATGCAGACCTTATAGGAGGATGTTCGGTTATAATGTGGGCATCTGGAACCTTGGACGTAGCCCTTAAAAAATGAGCCAAAGGCTGACCATAAGTACGTGGAAAAGCTTGGCTGATGACATGAGCTCCAGCTGGATCTGCAGCAGTAGTCCCATCGCCGAACTCTACCCTTACAGTGGCGCCCTGAACAAGATGTAGAACAGGAAGAAGCCCTTTAAGATGATGCCAGCCAAAAGAGTTTCACTATCACAGAATCATAATCAAGTTTCCGCTTAGGTAAGCGTCATTCATCTTTGTTTATGTCAATGTAAATCATAATACATACATTTAAAAGAACATGTAATTTTTATGGATTCATGATGCACGCTTACAGAACATGCACATCCAATGAATTCACAATCGCAAATCAACAGTCACACATAAAAAATGAGGAAACAAATGAGGGAGAAAAGATGCATCAACACTAACGTTTAACAGAGTCCGGACAGAATCAAACTTGGATAAAAAAGAAAAAGGTTCTCATCCCAGAAAAAGTGCTAGATTCCACCAACAGAGACTAAATCGTAAACCAAGGCAGCAAAAGATAAGAAATTCAAAGGTCCAACGAAAACATATCTTTGAGATCAAATACCTTCCTTATTAAGCCCCCAAAGCTCGAAGAAGTACGAATCGAACAATACGAAAAAGGAAAAAAAAATACAAATGGAAAAAAATCAAATTGGAACACAACAAGTTGGACATAGATCATAATAAAAAACTCAACCACGCTAACAAATCGGATCAATAAAAAAAAAAAATCTATTGCATGCTTATCTACAATAAAATCTGCTGCGATCTCAGTCTAATGGAGACAGCAACAGAATGCCCACACAAATGCAGCTCGCTCACATCTAAGCAAAACCAAGAATTCTAGACGTAGTCAAAACATTCGATCGATATTCATCAAACAATGTCAGATCTAATATGCAAAGCAATGGACAAACACTATAACCATGATCCAGATAAGAAGCTCTCGAAGATACAAAGGTATGACCTCGAGGCAAGGAGGCAGCTCCGGCTGATAGCGAACTCGCGTTTTCTGTAGATCTGAAAGCTCGCGGGTAACGCCATAGTCGGAGTCCATCCTCTTCTACGCTTTTCCACCTCGTCTGACCGGCGAGGAAAACCTAAGGTGGGGTATTTATAGTCCTATGGTTGGCGGAGGTAACAACCACCCCCACCTGTCGCTTCCATAAAATGGCTAGTCCTGAAAATGAAATGATTGAGTGCGCGAAGAAGACATTATGATCACATTGAAATCATATTCGAGAAAATCTTATTTCAATATCAATCAATCTGTATATGTGAATTTCTCAAGTAATATTTGTTCGTGAAGATGATTGGCGCATCGATGGATTGGATTTGAGTCAGTCGATTCAGATTAGATTTGATGAACATTCAGATTAACGATGTTTGGTCGATTTGAATCGTATTTATGACCACTGTCATGTTAGATTGTCACATTAGATTACAGGTTGGCCCAAAAACATATGAACTTCTGTAGCAAGAAGAATGTGATGTATTAATAAAAATTTTAGATCAAATTACTTTCATAATGATCTTTATTACAATGCTCATTTTGAGGAAAATAATAATAATATTATTATTATTATTATTATTATTATTATTATCTTGGAATGAGTTAATATTGCCAAGCTTTTCTTATTTTTAGTTTGAAAAGCTGTATTTTGGGTCAAGTATAGATTTAAATTACTGATGAGCATTTTTTTTTGTTATTGATAATTTGAGAGGGCGAGAACATGCATTGAAAACTTGCCGCTGTTGAGGTTGTGAATGCTTGAATAACGTTAATCGCTTGAAAATTGAATTATTTTTTTTTTCGTGGATCGAGATTGGATCGAAATAAACGAGCCAAGCTATTGCTGTGAAAGCGACGACAATAGAGCGAAAAATGAAACGAGAAAATTGCACGCAGAAAAGACACCAGAGCGACACGGATTTACGTGGTTCGGCAAATTTGACTATGTCAACAGAGCTGCAGTGGATTTTATTTCATCGAGAAATTACACCGTCGAACGCCTCCACGTTTACAAAAAAAATCTTTATTTTCTTCTCTCTCTTCCTCTCTCTCTATCTTCCTCCCTTTCTCTCTTAAAGGACTTGGCTTGGCCCTTGCTTAGCATTGTTTGGCTTGTGGGCTTGTGTCTTATAAAAAGCCATAAGAGGCTATTTATAGAAACCATGAGAGCAGTAGGTGGAGATAGGTGAGCGGCAGATGGGATGTGGTAGGTGAACGGTAGGTGGGAAGGTAGGTGAGCGGTAAGTAGGATTCTTAATTAGGAAGCTAATTAATAATAATTAATTAAATTGCAGTGGGCCGAGTCTCCACATTACCCAACAATTCTCCCACTTGGAGACTGAGACACTGACTGCATCACCTAATGATTGCATCATCTCCTAGCTATACCGACTTTTTTCCTCAAACATGATAGTCTCCACCTCTGCAACTCAAAGCCTTTGTCTTCATGCCAGAAGACCAACTGAAGTCGAGCACAATTTCAGCTTCTCACGAGTAACACCCTCAGTTGACATATCACCGTCAACGTAGCCTTGTACCACCAAGCTCTTTCCTAGGTTACTGTTGTATCTGCTTACAACTCCCACTGCATGAGCAATATTTTGCCCCTCCTGAAAACCCTTTTCAACAAGTCCAACCTTGTACCTCTTACAGCCATCAAGCGCAGTCTTCACCCGGTACACCCACTTGTTGTGCAATGTCTTCTTCCCTGGTGAAAGTTCTGTCAGCTCCCAAGTCTGATTCCCTGACAGGGAATCCGTCTCCACCTCCTTGGTCAGCTCCCACTTTCTTGAATTTTCATCTTGCAAGATTTCTTCATAGCTCTGTGATTCTCCATCATTTGTCTGTACAAGGTCCGATTTTCTTGCCTTTGGCGCTCTGCCGCTTTTCAAGAAATTAACATTTTTCTTCTTCCTCATAATGCACCTATGACTCATGTGTCTTTACCTGAATAAATTTGTAGTCATATATAGTGTGTCAGTTTTCTTACCCCGAGCCAGTACTAATGCTCCTTTGGTAATCTTTCATGTGCTATCTGAGAACACTACAAAATGACCACCCTCATTGAGCTGCCTAATAGAGATGAGGTTTTTCTTCAACTCGGGAACATGTCTGACCTTTTGCAAAGTCCATTTGCTCTTATTAAAGAGTGCAATATCAACGTCTCTCATCCCCATCACATCCAGAGCTTTTCCAACAGCCAGATATAACTTCTCAAAGTCACCTGCAACATAGTTTGACATCAACTCCCGGTGGGAAGATGTATGGAGGGAAGCCATTGAATCCAGTATCCAGTCATCAACAGAAATGTGAACTGTCAGTAATAGTGCATCCTATATTTCTTTAGTTACAACATTAGCGTCATCGTTATTCTTCTACTTGGGATTCCTGCATTTCCTTTTTATGTGGACAGCCTTACCACAATTTCAGCAGGTTGACTGGTGACTAAACTTTGATTTTGATCTTCCCTGTTTGGGTTCTTGTCTTGTGATCTCTCTTTGGAATCAACAATCAGTGCCGAACTCGAGCATGAGGCCTCGCCAGAATCCTTCCTGCGCATCTCCTCAACCAAAATCAAATCACAAATATCATCATATTTCAGCTTAGATTTACCTGCAGAACTGCTAACTGTCATCCTCATGGCTTCCCAACTATTTGACAATGAAACCAACAATACCAGTGCACGTATCTCATCATCAAAATCAATTTCAACAAACGATAACTGATTTGTGATAATGTTGAAATCATTCAGCAGTTGAGTGACAGAGACACCTTCCACCATCTTTAAGTTGAATAGTCTTTTCATCAGGTGCACCTTGTTATTCACCGATGGCTTTACATACGTACCTGATAATGCCACCATGAAATCTGCAGTAGTCCTTTCCTTAATGATGTTGTGGGCAATCGATCTCGACAGAGTTAATTGATAACCCTCAGAACCTGTCGATCCAATAGATTCCATTCCGCCTCGTCCATCTTTTCTGGACGCTTTCCCAATAACGGAAGATAAAGTTTCTTCCTATAGAGGTAGTCCTCTATCTGCATCCTCTAGTAAGCAAAATCTATGCCATTGAACTTCTCATTCCCCGACGTCATCACTTTGTCTCCACCCATTATTCTTCCTTATATTCAAACATAAGGCTTTGATACCAGTTGTTGTGAAAAGCGACGACAATAAAGCAAAAAAATGAAACGAGAAAATTGCACGCAGAAAACACTAGAGCGACACACAGATTTACGTGGTTTGACAAATTTGCCTCAACGGAGCTGCAGAGGATTTTATTTCTTCGAGGAATTACACCGTCGAGCGCCTCGACGTTTACAAGAAAATCTCTATTTTCTTCTCTCTCTTCTTCTCTCCCTCTCTCCTTTTCTCTTTCTCTCTTAGAGGACTTGATTTGGCCCTTGGTTAGCCTTGCTTGGCTTGTGGCTTATGACAAGCTATAAGTGGCTATTTATAGAAACCAGAAGTGCGGTAGGTGGGAGGTAGGTGAGCGGTAGGTGGGATGTGGTAGGTGAGTGGTAGGTAGGAAGGTAGGTGAGTGGTAGGTGGGATTCTTAATTAGGAAACTAATTAACAACAATTAATTAAATTGCGGTAGACCGAGTCTCCACATTACCCAATAACTATGAGTTGAAACTTTGGATTGATTTTTTTTAGTTGATTTTGAGCCATATTTGAATCGGCTTGAAATGATTCGAGATCGTCTCACAGTATTTTATATTTATTAAAATTATATATATCGTGCCACGAGTCAATTTTGAGCTGATTTTGATTTCAAGCTAGGACTTATCCAAACAACTCAATTTTGAGCTAGATCGAGGTGTTTCAGAGTTGAAACGGAACCAAATAACTCAATGTTAACCAACTTGTTTTGATTTCGAACCGGATTGAGGTCGATTCAATTTAGAGCCAGCTCGGCTCGAAATCGAATAGAATGAGCTAGGAGAAGACTCATCTCTAATTATTTTTTTATCGCAAATGTTCTAATAATAAAATTGATGGATTTTCCTTAAATTACTGCAATATTCATATATGGATATGATCTAAAAGTAAAATTGGTACTTTTTTAAGCCCAGAATAATTAAATGTGTATTGAAATATCATGACAATTGTTTTAATTAGCATAGATTTTTGTTTATTTTTATTTATAATAGTATTTTGAGGGTTATAAAAAATATGACATTAAATTAGAGACTATATTACTTGGTTGAGTTCCATAATATCTATGAATTCACACCAACTAAGTAGAAACAGGAGAAATAATAAAGAGATTTAGAGAGAAGTTATAAGATTTTATTGCTTAAGGGAACTAGTACAAGGATGAGAGGTAAGGCTAAGATTTTTTATCTCCAGTATGAACCATGAAGACCTATTTATAGGTTTCGATTGACAGTGATTACATTACATATGAGTCACCTAAAAAATGGATAAAAATATAACTCATATCTAGTGCATCATATCACCTGAATGGATTTGAACCCAATATCATGCTTGCTTGGTGAGAGTACTAATATAGGTTAGCTCATCAAGCATTCGACTATATATATTAAGTCCTATGATTATCTTATCTTTGTAAGTTTATTGTAAAAAAATAAGAAAATTAAATATTTTGAATTATTAATAAATAAACATTTAAAGTGTAGGGCTATTAATTGATGTGATGCATATTTGTTTCTATAAATATAAATACATGAGCTTTGGATAAGCATAAGCTATACTTTTCTTCTTAGCTTTATTCTTTGAATCTCAATCCAAATTATGAGGGATTCGTCGGTGGCTCCTTCATATTGGCATCCTTCTCATCCTAGACCAAACTCCAACGAGTTTATGGGTGAGATTGGTCTTCTCATTAATGTGGAGTTCTACTATTGAATAAAAGGTTAAACGATTATTTATTGTTATATCTTAAGTAACATGTAATGAAAGACTAGTGATTATTTTCACAATTTTGTTCACTACGAGAGAACATTTTGATGATGAACCATATGTTAATTTATTTATTTAAATGTTATAGTAGAGAGAGGACCAAATTAAGTTGTTCAAAATTCTACTCTTCATAAGTTAAATAGCTCCTCCTACTATCAAAATGGTTGTTGATGAAGCCACCTAATCTGTTATTGTACTAATAGGTGCAGAAGCACCAAACCTTAAAAATGGTAAGCTATTAAAGAGAAAATGAGAACTATACCTA